TTTCCCTGGTTTCTCTCTCTTTTCTCACACTTGTTTTGTTTCTCTCTCTCTCTCTCTCTCTCTCTCTCTCTCTCTCTCAGTAAGTCGGTCACATCCTGATGCCAGTTGCTGATTTCTAAACATTGCTATCCGATCTGTTTCCATGGACACAGAGGAAGGGAACGAGAACGAGAAGAAGATTATCAGCAAGACTGACTGGAGAAAAGCTCATTGTTCAACAGCATTTTCCCAGCATCCTTTGGAGCTAATAGAAGATACTGACATGAGAGGAAGAGAGAGGACTGTTAAGACACTTCATCCCTCTTTTATACCCACATCATTCCTTCTCTCTCTACCGGCTACAATTTTCCATGAAATGACGAGGAAAATGGCTGTCATTTAGAGGGTCTGAGGCAGTCTATTTACAGATGATACAGAACGCTGATAGAGTGGCCATTAACTCAACATTTAGGGCTGGGATTATCTGAATCATTATAAAAGCAGCGAGTACTTTCTCTCTCAAAACAAAACAAAACAAAAAACCCTACTGTAAAGACAACTGCGTAAACATATTTGCTCTGCATTATACATACCTAAAAAATCTAATCTTAGTCAGTTTCTTGTTTGGTCGCACAGAAAAATATTTGGAACATATTAAATGAATTCAATAGTGTTAGCGTGTTGCACAATATTAAATAGGTATATAAAAAAAATCATCCATTTTAAGTATATACAAATATTTCATTGATATTTGCAGTACTAAATAAAATATTCTTTCTTTGTGCATTGCCTGTTTTATCCATAAGATGGACATGCTGTCTTAAAATCTGGCCAAAGCCAAGTGTCTTCGAAGGCCTCAAGTGTTGCTGCTTAAGATTTGTAACAGCTGTTCCATCGCGCGCGCCGCCGTGTGCTATTAGCTAATGACTGCCGCGGGAAGGACACTGGTTGTGTGATATCTGTCTGTACTCACTGATGGGCGGCTGCAGTGGGTGTCCGGTTTTGGCGCACCACCCGGCAGGATGAATATCTGGGCTGTCTGCATCGATCCAGTAATCATATTCATCTGTCCAGCCATCAAAATGGATCTAAAAGAGAGCAATGCAGATCACTCTTTTACAATGCAAAAAACAATAAAACTGCGTCCCAAATGATGCACTATACACTTAAAGACTATACATTATATACTTATGGACTATGCAAATATATCTTAAAATCTTTGACATTTAAAGTTCATATTAAAGTTTATTATTCATTCTCGTTTTAAATATAAACCTCGCTGAATTTAGTGAATTTAGCAAATCTCCAGATTTACTAACAGCTTGCACCAGCTCAAACCCTCTTTTGGTGTTAAAAAAAAACTACTGGCAGGATTTACTAAAGTCACACAGTGAAACATTAGTGATGAAAAGGCATGAACACAGTCATTTTTGCGGCTGATCTTACTGCATATGTATTTGTAGTTTTCCTTTCAGGCGCAACATTTTTGGGAAGAGTATTTAAATTAGGGGTGACAAACTCACTTTAGGTTGAGGGGTCGGATCTGAGAAAATGTCACCTTGTGCGGGCCGAATTACTTTTGTTACAATTACATTAATATTAACCAAACTACAATATAATTTACAAGAAAACTAGGAAAACGTTTTTTTTTTTTCCAAAGATGATGCTAAGTTATTTTAGAGGTGTGCAATATTGAAAAAAACTAAATTTGTATAATTACACCATATTTTGCAATAATTAATTACACCATGTTTTGCCAAGTGTGTTTCTGAGATAGTACCTTATTTGGTTTAAGCATGTCATTTACAAATAAATATGAAACTAACACCGCCAGTAGGTGGTGGCAAGTCCCCGTTTTAATGCGTGATTCATTGACTCATTCATTCAAATGATTCGTTCAAAACGGCTGATTTATTTAGAAATGAAGCTAGTGACTGTCTTTATGAATGGGCCACTGAATCATTGAGTAACAAAAAATACTGAATTCATCCAGTAACAAAACACACTGTGTTGATCGAAGACACACAAATGTTCTACTCCTGCTTTGTTAAAAAATATTTTTGTTGGCAAAACAGAGCAAAAACAGACAACTTTGTGTCTATACCGAAACTCACTTAACACTAACATCTTGTTTGTTAAACTGTTGCATAAAATCCATTCATTTGCGATGGCACTGATATTCAGGAAAACAACACTCTTGCTCGTGTCATATTACTTAACTATCATGCCATAAATATAAAATCTCTTACAGGGCATTTTTTGCCTCCATATCTGGTATCTCCATAATACTCCATAATAGTCTCACTATTATAACTGCATTCTAATAGCCTTCAACCCCCAGTGAAAGACTCTCAAGACGTGTTTTTGTTTGTTATTTTGCAAAGTGAGTCACATAATGTCAGCTCGCACATTCTTAAAATAACAATTATGCTATTATAGTTAGGGATGCACCGATACCACTTTTTCCCAGTACTTGCTCGATACCGATACTTTTATTTTTGGTACTTGCCGATACCGAGTAAATTTTTAAAATATTGGTTACAGAAACCAAAAGAGTATGTATAATGTTAGTTGGTTAACTTCATTTATCAAATAGATAGTCAAACCAACATTTATTCAGACACCTTCAACATTTCTCACATTATCACAGTTTATTCGCTATAGTTTAGAAAATGGTAATAAAATATGACAAGAACTCGGAGTTAAACTGTGTCAGAACAAATTCAGCCTGATAATGTCAGATAACTTTGATAGAAAGGTATGTAATACAATAAGCCAAAAATTATTCATACAGCTGTCAATATTTACACAACTATCAATACTTTGTCGGGTGACCCTTAGCCTTAATGACAGCATATAGTCATATTGCACAACTTAAATTTTTTCCCAGACTCGGTCTGAATAATTTTTGGTCCCAAATTTGTATCAATTTTACTGGTAGTCTACTGTATGAAGAATGTTTGGGTATGATTTGTCAGTTTACTTTATTTTGCTATCTTTCACACAGACTGTTAGTTTCACTTTCGCCAGAAAGTCGTGTATTCTTAAGGGTGAAAATAAATTACGTTTATAGTGAATGCCCCAATAAATTGTCTTATATTTACGATTTAGTTTTAATCCAAATGATGCGTGCTAAGTGAGCAGACATCAATAAAGGTCACACAACAGAAGTGAGCTCTCTCTCTCGCTCTCTCTCTCTCCCTACCGTTAAATAACTTGTGCATTTTTTTACTTACCTGTTTTTGACACATCCGACCGAATTACAAACTTTCCAGTGATGTCTGTGAGAAAGGTATATTCACTTGACAAGCACGCGCATCTGCGCCGCCGCGCGCTCAATCCACTCAGCGTGATTTGCTTACCAGCACGCGCACATCAGCTATACAGGCGTTAATACTGAATGTTTTATATTCATTGCATACATATACTTCGTAGACATCTTTAATCTCTAATAAATCCATTCTGCTGTCTGTCGTCGATGTTTTTTGTCTGAATATGGCGCTTATCACATGCTGTGTGGTATCGGCGTTTGGTATCGGGGCATTTTAACGAGTACGAGTACGAGTACAGGAGACCAGTATCGGGCCCGATACCAATACCAGTATCGGTATCGGTGCATCCCTAATTATATTAGATGATAAATATCGCATACTTTTCAATCCTAAACTGCCCAGTGCCTCTCATAGTGTCGTTTAATATTGCACTTTTACCACAGCCACGGGTTGTGATTAAACGGTCAGTTTCTGTAAGATGACCTTACAGAATATCTTTCTTTGCATTTCTCCTTAAATATCTGTCCTTCCAAGTCAAATTTATAACGTGCATGTGTGTTAAGTGTCCCGAGGCGTAATATCAACACACACAAAAAATAGCAATTTGTTTAAGTTAAAAATAAAATATTGTAGCGAATATACTTTATTTAATTTTCAAAATAATGTATTAATTATTCTTTTATATTTTTGTTCAAATCATCCCACAGGCCGGATTGGACACCTGTTAGCCGCATTCAGCCTGCGGGCTGTATGTGTGATACCCCTGAATTAAATGAATCATACAAAGTGATTTACTAAGGTTTGTGGTAGTAAATTTACTAGTATCTTAGCTATTATTTAACGCCCCAAAAAAAAACACTTTGTAACCCATTGCCATTGGTAGATTATGGTGGTCATTATGGATGTGATCAGGCTGCATCTGTGTAATGTGCGCATTGTCAGCAGCAGAACTTTCCACTCCCATCGGCGCGTTTATGGCATTGTGCTCTCACATTAATTTGCCGTTTAGTAAACCTGGCCCACATTGTGGCATCTGATGGAAAAACATGGGTGGTGTGGTATAGTGGTTTAGCACTGTAACTGGTGGCTGGTTTGGTCCGCACATGAACAACTTGTCAATGTTGTGATATTAGATGATAAATATCGCATACTTTTCAATCCTAAACTGCCCAGTGCCTCTCATAGTGTCGTTTAATATTGCACTTTTACCACAGCCACGGGTTGTGATTAAACGGTCAGTTTCTGTAAGATGACCTTACAGAATATCTTTCTTTGCATTTCTCCTTAAATATCTGTCCTTCCAAGTCAAATTTATAACGTGCATGTGTGTTAAGTGTCCCGAGGCGTAATATCAACACACACAAAAAATAGCAATTTGTTTAAGTTAAAAATAAAATATTGTAGCGAATATACTTTATTTAATTTTCAAAATAATGTATTAATTATTCTTTTATATTTTTGTTCAAATCATCCCACAGGCCGGATTGGACACCTGTTAGCCGCATTCAGCCTGCGGGCTGTATGTGTGATACCCCTGAATTAAATGAATCATACAAAGTGATTTACTAAGGTTTGTGGTAGTAAATTTACTAGTATCTTAGCTATTATTTAACGCCCCAAAAAAAAACACTTTGTAACCCATTGCCATTGGTAGATTATGGTGGTCATTATGGATGTGATCAGGCTGCATCTGTGTAATGTGCGCATTGTCAGCAGCAGAACTTTCCACTCCCATCGGCGCGTTTATGGCATTGTGCTCTCACATTAATTTGCCGTTTAGTAAACCTGGCCCACATTGTGGCATCTGATGGAAAAACATGGGTGGTGTGGTATAGTGGTTTAGCACTGTAACTGGTGGCTGGTTTGGTCCGCACATGAACAACTTGTCAATGTTGTGCTCTTAATCAAGACTCTTGCTCCAAGAAGAATTGTTGCTGCAGGGTTTCTCTGGTGACACTGCATGAACGTCACTACAAATCCTAACGGAGCTGGTTGTGTGGCAAAAAATAGAGATTTTATTCTTACATAAGGTGCAAAACACCCTGCCACACTTCAGATGAAACCAGGAACAGCATGGCTACTAGTATTTCAAGGTCCCTTGAGAAGATTATCTTCATATTGCAATGCACATCTCTAGAGATGTTAACATTCAAACTGGAATCTTAAAGAAACGTTGGCAGCGATCAGACGGCTGGCAGAGTGTTTCAGTCATATTGTGTTTCAGACTTCCTGAACTCTTTGAAAAGAGCTGCTGCAATCACAACAATGAGAAGAAAAGAGCAACGGCCCTTAAATGACAGCCTGTCTCCAGGACTTCGATAAAACGGGCTCTTGGGAAATCAGCCAGACTGCAGGAACAGGGACGGACTAAAAAGGCGAGCCGTGTTTTTAGTGGTGTTCACAGCACAGCTGACAGTCATTATGTGGAGGCTGAGTAGACTGGCTTTGTGCCGCCCATCCAGACCAGACTGGCTTTTGTGATTCACTGCGTGATAGTTTGAGATAAAGAAATGTTTCATTTGCATTCTTATCATCAGTCTCGCTCTCTTTTAATCTCTTTCCAGTTTGCATGCGTCCATCCATGACTACATCCATTTATCATCTCTCTCATCTCGTTTTCCCATAGCTTCGTTCACAATCAGTGTAATTGTAGCATAATTGATGTAATGATACTGATCCTTTTTCCGTTCTATTTCCACAAAGGATTTGACATGTGAATCCATAACTTGTAGTGTAAAAGTTTACTTTTTGTCAAGTTACATTATAAAAGAAATCGAACTCAAAAACTATTTTACACTTCATCAAGTTCCAAAAAC